TTTATTTATTATATATTGTGTGTATATATATATATATATATATATATATTCGTGAAAATGTATATTCGATACATATATATATATATATCGTATGTGTGTATCACGAATATACATTTTCATTTCATGAAACATCAATATCAAATTTATTCTTGAATAACTAAAAGTTGACGTGCTGTATTTTTAGAAAAAATTCATTTGAAACAGATCAAGAAAATCATAGTTGAAATAAAGGGAGCTGTAGCTTGAAAGACTCCTGTACTCCCTCCCCAAAAAAGTTATTTTTTGTAACATCGAAATGTGTGTGTGTGTGTGTGTACATCGTGTATCCTATCATCTTGTTAGTTAAAATACCTTTGTAAAATCGTTTTTCTTGAAATATGAAAATTAAAATTTAAAATTAACACGTAGCATTGATCTTTTTTCTCTAAATTTAGAGCTCATATCTGTGCAACTTAATAAACTTGACGCATTTGCGTCATGCAAATTACCTCAGCATTACATCGGACACTTTATTGTATCCTCCCCCTCTCTCTCCCTCTCTCTCCATTATATTGCACTGCTGCGCTCGAAGATTATTCGAGATAGGCGATGCAATGTACAAAAATTTAATAACTTTAATTGAAGCACATTTAATTAAATGACTAATGCCTGATGATCGGAAAATGCTTATTTTGTTATAATTATTAACAATATAGGTGCCGCGTGAGGAATCTTTTGTTTGAGTTTCTCTCATGAGTATATGTAGGTCAATTCACACGTGCTCTGCGGTTTGAGAGGTCACTGCTTGTGAGTGGAAGTGACGTGTAATAGCCGACCGATTTATTGACTTTTAATACCATGGAACGAGATTGGTCGCTTGTATGCATGCCATGTACATGCGTTATTTGTTGTCTGATCCTCTTTGACTGCGACTCAGAAATCATTGTGAATATTGTGAATGTGTATTGCAAGCGTTAAATTCCATCAATGGATAAGCGTGACAAAAACGTTCTCAGTAATCAGAAAGATCCTATTTTAGTAAGCGAAATAATATATGTATAATAAAAAAATGAAAAGATATATGATACGGCACTGAATTATACGAAAAAAACTCGTTATAAATTAAAAAAGTTAGATCTTTGTAAATAAAAATTCTTATTTTTATATATAGAAGATCATAATTTTTAAATTATTATATTTAGAAATTGTTATCTATAGGATCATATAGTTTCTGCTCAGAAAGTTTTTAATTACTATACTTACAGTTAACGATAACAATTTACAGTAATAATCTAGCAGCTAAATTCTAGCTTAAAAAAAGATTATATATATATATATATATATATATATATATATATATATGTGTGTGTGTGTGTGTGTGTGTGTGTGTGTGTGTGTGTGTATATTACATTTGGTATATTATTGTAGTTTATTCTATGATGAAAACACATTATTTATATTTGATATGAATCTTTTTTTATGCACTGAACACCAATTATATATTATAAAGACCACACTATATATGTTGGATCGGTATTATAAACGTGTACTTACCGGTCCCAAATATTGTGCATTGGCAATGGTTGTTTCGGGTGCCGCAAAAGCTGGTGTTCCAGCTTGTCCTGTCAATAATTCTCCAGATTCTCTTAATTCTGTGCTGACGCCTAAATCAGCGATTTTAATCCTGTTATCCTTGTCCACCAGCAGATTGCTTGGCTTAATGTCACGATGCACTATCTTCTGGTAGTGCACTAAATACGTAAATAACAATAAATATTACATGATACCGTTTATAATGATCGCATGATTTTTACTAAAATTTAGTTCTAAGAAACTTAAATATTGTATCAAACACATTTGCAACTTAGAAAATATTTTAAAAAAGTTAAAGAACATAGTTGATCAATACGTCTTATTTATCTTTTTCGCGAAATTAGATCAATATTACTTATCAATATTAATAAGTTTTAAGCAGCTTTATGTTTAAATAGTATTTGGCGCGATTCTATACTTTCATATAAAGTATATTAATGTTTTGCGTTGTAATAACCACCAAATATATTACATAAATCCGCCTTTCCGCCGAGAAGATTTGCATTCTATTATTTAACGCGTACGTGATAAATATAATAATGTATGTTACAAAACCTTATATCTTATTGTGTATAACTAAAATGCGAATCCTTTAAACTTTTCGAAATCCTTTTTTTAAAAATAAGATTGAAAAGAAAATGAATTCTAAATCTCACTATTATTTAATTTGCAATAATGTAATTAACATTAATTTCAAGATATTGTGTATACTTATCATATTTAATATTTAAAATTTAATTTTAATAGTTAATAATTTGTTGGATTGCGTAATAAAAATTTCTTCGCGAAGTTCTCGTATTTAAAAATAGAATATATAATGACTCACAATATTCGACTCCCATGACAACATCGCGGAAGTAACGCCTGGCCGTTACTTCATTTAGAGGTTTGTCGGTAGGTATAAGAAGGATTTCACCTCTGTGGACTAATTCGAAGACTAGATAAAGATTATCCTTGTCGGGATGGTCGAGTACTTCGACTAATTTCACGACATTAGGATGATCGAGTTTCTTCAGAATAGCAATTTCTCTATAAACTTTTGCTAAAGGATCAGCGCCTATTCTGCGCGGAGGTATCCTTCCAAATATTCCTGTTTTCTTCATTAATTTCCTCTTGCTCACTATTTTCATGGCGTAATATGTGTCATCTTCTTCGTTGAAAACTTTCTTGACGACACCAAAAGAACCCTGAAAATGTGCAAAGTGAAAAGTAATAAATTCGCAATAAGAATTTTTTGTGGAGGGAAGAGGGAGAATTTAAATTGATATTGATATTAAATTTAATTACCGATTTAAAGAAGAAAAGCTTTTGGCTTTGATTGTGTTTTGGCTTGCTATGCTGTGAATTCATTAATTAATACACACACACACACACACACACACACACACACACACACACACACACACACACACACACACACACACACACACACACACACAGGGCGAGTCACGTAATTTTGGGATGGGTTATATCTCGAGTTTAGTTAGTAATATAAAAAAGTTATATTAGAAAAAAATTGAATGGTATAAGAAGATCTATTTTCCTACAAATTAATTCTTTTTATAAATGTTTAAAATAGTGAAAAATTAAATGAAGAATTTGAAATAGTGTTTACAGTATGAAAAAATATTATTAAGTAATTCTTTGAGATAAAAGAATTTTTTATGAAGAAAAATCAGATCATTTTATTCAACTATGATTGAACTATATGATTTTAATTTTGTAAGTTCCCTTTTGTAGTTCAGCTACACTGTTATCTTAATGCGCTTTATATCACCACGACAATCAAGTCGAAGGTTATCGGCGATGCTATCGGGAGTGAAAGCATAATTTTATAGTTCACGGTATGGTTACCTTTGAGTACATCCTGTAGCCGTTATTTTGTTATAAATATATAAGCAATGACAATAAAATTTAAAGGCATTTGTAGCATATATCTTAGCCTCTAATAATAAATGTAACTTTCCAAATATAATTTTATATTGTTTTAAAAATCATACCACTTAATAAACATAATTGTATAAAATTGTTTATAATTTTGATATGTTGCAACATTATTCGTATTGTATAAAGTTGTAACTCAATTGCTTAGTTAATTCAGCCACGAGATGAATTAGTTCATCGCATAGAAATAGCTTTTGATGCGATATAATATAAGTGTCAGTTTTTTTTATCTCGAGAAGATTTTTTCAGCATAATTATGCAGAAGAGAACGAGCGACGTAACATTGTCGAGAAAAGGCTAGAGAGAGAGAGAGAGAGAGAGAGAGAGAGAGAGAGAGAGAGAGAGAGAGAGAGAGAGAGAGTAGAGAGAGAGTAGTAGTAGTAG